CTGCTCTGTTTGTGAATGTGATTTGCTGATCAACTGCCTGTTCAAGTGTGAAGTGTGTTACGCTGTTTTTGTTGAGTTGCTTGCTTGCTCTGTTTGTGAGTGTGATTTGCTGATCAACTGCCTATTCAGGTGTGAAGTGTGTTACGCTGTTTTTGTTGAGTTGCTTGCTTGCTCTGTTTGTGAGTGTGATTTGCTGATCAACTGTCTGTTCAGGTGTGAAGTGTGTTACGCTGTTTTTGTTGAGTTGCTTGCTTGCTCTGTTTGTGAATGTGATTTGCTGATCATTTGCCTGTTCAGGTGTGAAGTGACTTACGCTCTTTTTGCTGAGTTGCTTGCTTGCTCTGTTTGTGAGTGTGATTTGCTGATCAACTGCCTGTTCAGGTGTGAAGTGTGTTACGCTGTTTTTGTTGAGTTGCTTGCTTGCTCTGTTTGTGAATGTGATTTGCTGATCAACTGCCTATTCAGGTGTGAAGTGTGTTACGCTGTTTTTGTTGAGTTGCTTGCTTGCTCTGTTTGTGAATGTGATTTGCTGATCAACTGCCTGTTCAGGTGTGAAGTGAGTTACGCTGTTCTTGTTGAGTTGCTTGCTTGCTCTGTTTGTGAGTGTGATTTGCTGATCAACTGCCTGTTCAGGTGTGAAGTGGGTTACGCTGTTTTTGTTGAGTTGCTTGCTTGCTCTGTTTGTGAATGTGATTTGCTGATCATTTGCCTGTTCAGGTGTGAAGTGACTTACGCTCTTTTTGACGAGTTGCTTGCTTGCTCTGTTTGTGAGTGTGATTTGCTGATCAACTGCCTGTTCAGGTGTGAAGTGTGTTACGCTGTTTTTGTTGAGTTGCTTGCTTGCTCTGTTTGTGAATGTGATTTGCTGATCAACTGCCTGTTCAAGTGTGAAGTGTGTTACGCTGTTTTTGTTGAGTTGCTTGCTTGCTCTGTTTGTGAATGTGATTTGCTGATCGTTTGCCTGTTCAGGTGTGAAGTGTGTTACGCTGTTTTTGTTGAGTTGCTTGCTTGCTCTGTTTGTGAATGTGATTTGCTGATCATTTGCCTGTTCAGGTGTGAAGTGACTTACGCTCTTTTTGCTGAGTTGCTTGCTTGCTCTGTTTGTGAGTGTGATTTGCTGATCAACTGCCTATTCAGGTGTGAAGTGTGTTACGCTGTTTTTGTTGAGTTGCTTGCTTGCTCTGTTTGTGAATGTGATTTGCTGATCAACTGCCTGTTCAGGTGTGAAGTGAGTTACGCTGTTTTTGTTGAGTTGCTTGCTTGCTCTGTTTGTGAGTGTGATTTGCTGACCAACTGCCTATTCAGGTGTGAAGTGTGTTACGCTGTTTTTGTTGAGTTGCTTGCTTGCTCTGTTTGTGAGTGTGATTTGCTGATCAACTGTCTGTTCAGGTGTGAAGTGTGTTACGCTGTTTTTGTTGAGTTGCTGGCTTGCTCTGTTTGTGAATGTGATTTGCTGATCATTTGCCTGTTCAGGTGTGAAGTGACTTACGCTCTTTTTGCTGAGTTGCTTGCTTGCTCTGTTTGTGAGTGTGATTTGCTGATCAACTGCCTGTTCAGGTGTGAAGTGTGTTACGCTGTTTTTGTTGAGTTGCTTGCTTGCTCTGTTTGTGAATGTGATTTGCTGATCAACTGCCTATTCAGGTGTGAAGTGTGTTACGCTGTTTTTGTTGAGTTGCTTGCTTGCTCTGTTTGTGAATGTGATTTGCTGATCAACTGCCTGTTCAGGTGTGAAGTGAGTTACGCTGTTCTTGTTGAGTTGCTTGCTTGCTCTGTTTGTGAGTGTGATTTGCTGATCAACTGCCTGTTCAGGTGTGAAGTGGGTTACGCTGTTTTTGTTGAGTTGCTTGCTTGCTCTGTTTGTGAATGTGATTTGCTGATCATTTGCCTGTTCAGGTGTGAAGTGACTTACGCTCTTTTTGACGAGTTGCTTGCTTGCTCTGTTTGTGAGTGTGATTTGCTGATCAACTGCCTGTTCAGGTGTGAAGTGTGTTACGCTGTTTTTGTTGAGTTGCTTGCTTGCTCTGTTTGTGAATGTGATTTGCTGATCAACTGCCTGTTCAAGTGTGAAGTGTGTTACGCTGTTTTTGTTGAGTTGCTTGCTTGCTCTGTTTGTGAATGTGATTTGCTGATCGTTTGCCTGTTCAGGTGTGAAGTGTGTTACGCTGTTTTTGTTGAGTTGCTTGCTTGCTCTGTTTGTGAATGTGATTTGCTGATCATTTGCCTGTTCAGGTGTGAAGTGACTTACGCTCTTTTTGCTGAGTTGCTTGCTTGCTCTGTTTGTGAGTGTGATTTGCTGATCAACTGCCTGTTCAGGTGTGAAGTGTGTTACGCTGTTTTTGTTGAGTTGCTTGCTTGCTCTGTTTGTGAATGTGATTTGCTGATCAACTGCCTGTTCAGGTGTGAAGTGTGTTACGCTGTTTTTGTTGAGTTGCTTGCTTGCTCTGTTTGTGAGTATGATTTGCTGATCGTTTGCCTGTTCAGGTGTGAAGTGTGTTACGCTGTTTTTGTTGAGTTGCTTGCTTGCTCTGTTTGTGAATGTGATTTGCTGATCATTTGCCTGTTCAGGTGTGAAGTGTGTTACGCTGTTTTTGTTGAGTTGCTTGCTGCTCTGTTTGTGAATGTGATTTGCTGATCAACTGCCTGTTCAGGTGTGAAGTGTGTTACGCTGTTTTTGTTGAGTTGCTTGCTTGCTCTGTTTGTGAGTATGATTTGCTGATCGTTTGCCTGTTCAGTTGTGAAGTGTGTTACGCTGTTTTTGTTGAGTTGCTTGCTTGCTCTGTTTGTGAATGTGATTTGCTGATCAACTGCCTGTTCAGGTGTGAAGTGTGTTACGCTGTTTTTGTTGAGTTGCTTGCTTGCTCTGTTTGTGAGTATGATTTGCTGATCGTTTGCCTGTTCAGGTGTGAAGTGTGTTACGCTGTTTTTGTTGAGTTGCTTGCTTGCTCTGTTTGTGAATGTGATTTGCTGATCAACTGCCTGTTCAGGTGTGAATCGTGTTACGCTGTTTTTGTTGAGTTGCTTGCTTGCTCTGTTTGTGAGTGTGATTTGCTGATCAACTGCCTATTCAGGTGTGAAGTGCGTTACGCTCTTTTTGTTGAGTTGCTTGCTTGCTCTGTTTGTGAGTGTGATTTGCTGATCAACTGCCTGTTCAGGTGTGAAGTGTGTTACGCTGTTTTTGTTGAGTTGCTTGCTTGCTCTGTTTGTGAATGTGATTTGCTGATCAACTGCCTGTTCAGGTGTGAAGTGCGTTACGCTCTTTTTGTTGAGTTGCTTGCTTGCTCTGTTTGTGAGTGTGATTTGCTGATCAACTGCCTATTCAGGTGTGAAGTGCGTTACGCTCTTTTTGTTGAGTTGCTTGCTTGCTCTGTTTGTGAGTGTGATTTGCTGATCAACTGCCTGTTCAGGTGTGAAGTGTGTTACGCTCTTTTTGTTGAGTTGCTTGCTTGCTCTGTTTGTGAATGTGATTTGCTGATCAACTGCCTGTTCAGGTGTGAATCGTGTTACGCTGTTTTTGTTGAGTTGCTTGCTTGCTCTGTTTGTGAGTGTGATTTGCTGATCAACTGCCTATTCAGGTGTGAAGTGCGTTACGCTCTTTTTGTTGAGTTGCTTGCTTGCTCTGTTTGTGAGTGTGATTTGCTGATCAACTGCCTGTTCAGGTGTGAAGTGTGTTACGCTCTTTTTGTTGAGTTGCTTGCTTGCTCTGTTTGTGAGTGTGATTTGCTGATCAACTGCCTATTCAGGTGTGAAGTGCGTTACGCTCTTTTTGTTGAGTTGCTTGCTTGCTCTGTTTGTGAGTGTGATTTGCTGATCAACTGCCTGTTCAGGTGTGAAGTGTGTTACGCTCTTTTTGTTGAGTTGCTTGCTTGCTCTGTTTGTGAGTCTGATTTGCTGATCAACTGCCTGTTCAGGTGTGAAGTGTGTTACGCTCTTTTTGTTGAGTTGCTTGCTTGCTCTGTTTGTGAGTGTGATTTGCTGATCAACTGCCTGTTCAGGTGTGAAGTGTGTTACGCTCTTTTTGTTGAGTTGCTTGCTTGCTCTGTTTGTGAGTCTGATTTGCTGATCAACTGCCTGTTCAGGTGTGAAGTGCGTTACGCTCTTTTTGTTGAGTTGCTTGCTTGCTCTGTTTGTGAGTGTGATTTGCTGATCAACTGCCTATTCAGGTGTGAAGTGCGTTACGCTCTTTTTGTTGAGTTGCTTGCTTGCTCTGTTTGTGAGTGTGATTTGCTGATCAACTGCCTGTTCAGGTGTGAAGTGTGTTACGCTCTTTTTGTTGAGTTGCTTGCTTGCTCTGTTTGTGAGTCTGATTTGCTGATCAACTGCCTGTTCAGGTGTGAAGTGTGTTACGCTGTTTTTGTTGAGTTGCTTGCTTGCTCTGTTTGTGAATGTGATTTGCTGATCAACTGCCTGTTCAGGTGTGAAGTGTGTTACGCTGTTTTTGTTGAGTTGCTTGCTTGCTCTGTTTGTGAGTATGATTTGCTGATCGTTTGCCTGTTCAGGTGTGAAGTGTGTTACGCTGTTTTTGTTGAGTTGCTTGCTTGCTCTGTTTGTGAATGTGATTTGCTGATCAACTGCCTGTTCAGGTGTGAATCGTGTTACGCTGTTTTTGTTGAGTTGCTTGCTTGCTCTGTTTGTGAGTGTGATTTGCTGATCAACTGCCTATTCAGGTGTGAAGTGCGTTACGCTCTTTTTGTTGAGTTGCTTGCTTGCTCTGTTTGTGAGTGTGATTTGCTGATCAACTGCCTGTTCAGGTGTGAAGTGTGTTACGCTGTTTTTGTTGAGTTGCTTGCTTGCTCTGTTTGTGAATGTGATTTGCTGATCAACTGCCTGTTCAGGTGTGAAGTGTGTTACGCTCTTTTTGTTGAGTTGCTTGCTTGCTCTGTTTGTGAGTCTGATTTGCTGATCAACTGCCTGTTCAGGTGTGAAGTGTGTTACGCTGTTTTTGCTGAGTTGCTTGCTTGCTCTGTTTGTGAGTGTGATTTGCTGATCAACTGCCTGTTCAGGTGTGAAGTGTGTGCGCGTGGGGAGTATGCAGAGTGAGTCCTACATAGACCCAGTGGCAGGTGCACAGCCCCCCTTCACCCACAGACTGCAGGAACTGGTGGGTCTGGAGGGGGAGACGATCAAGTACGAGAGACAGAGGCGTCTGGGAAGGAGGAGGATCAAACTCGAGTGATCCAAAAGGGGGATGTGGGTGCGTGTTTAATTGTAAATGCAGCAAACATGCAACTACACGCCACACTTGGAATTCAAGCGAGACATCGATTGCATATACACGCATTACAACTTTCTTTCTCGGAAACCTCAGGAAAACCTAGAAAGCTTGCGGATGCCGAAGCAATTAGTTTTTTACACCAATTAGCCAAAAAAAACTATTTTAAACGATTGTTTTGTTGAGTTGTTTATGGTGGTTGTCTCAAATTAAGATGTTAACTTTTTCAATTCATCTGATTAACAGCTTAAGACAAAAATAGCGAATTGGTTGTTGAATGCCCTGTATTATTTTGTTCTCAAACTGTTCTCAAACAGTGAAGCTTTTGAAACAGTTTTATTGAGTTTTTCCCGCTAACCGAAACGCTATTATCCTCGGTCTAACTTCGTCGACATCTTTTCATTTGTTTCTCAGTCTTGTTTTGATGGCACAGCTTTTAGAAGAACAAAAACACACAGCGCTTTGTCGCAATTATCACTATTGAGTTATAACCTATGTGGTTAACTCCTAGAGTAATTTCGGATAGGGTACACCGTCTGCTCGTCACGCTATCTTATTTTCGGCCGGATAGATTCGTGCAACTTCTTAGTCTAATACCGATCCTAATCTTACTCTTATATCTACTAGTCTCAGGGTGTTTAACTAGTCTCTGCTAGGCTCAATAGATCTAGAGTATACTGGCTTATTGCAACTGCTGAAGTTCTCTTGGAGAGGCAACTAATTTCTAAGTTAAATTCAGATCTCTCTGGTGCTGAAATTACAAGTAACTTCAGCACTTACAAATAAGTGGGTTGTTACTTAGATGGATTATGATTTGTTAATATTAAATATTTTACAGTGGTAAAATATCCAATTTATCCAATTATAAAATGTAGTTTAGATCAGGTTCCACCCATTCTGGTTTTACAGAGTTTTTTAGAATCATCTTTCTGCAATCCAAAGGATGGATGACAAACGTTGGTATTTGGCGAACATCATATTCTTATCCAGTTCCTGTTGTTAAAGAAGTTCCAGGACGCTGGAGTTAGGAACATCAATCGTTGTGTCGTCTTGTGACAACGACTGTGTTCCCCAATGAAATCAATCTGATTTCAAAATTGTTTGCTATGACGGGTTTTTCTGTATTATGTAGAGAACTTGTTTTGTGTTCAACCTCGTCTGGGAATGGAGTGGAGATCGTGCGTGGAAGGAAAGCCTCGTAACTCGGATCTGCACGTATACTTGAACATCGAGGTGGTCATTGGTCTAGTTCAATGAAGTCCTTTTCTGCGAAGTCAAAACGTACTCTAAATCCTTTGAAATGTGATTGTGGACGGCATATCGGTTATGTTGGCCATTCTTGTTCGAGTGTGATGGAATCATTTTGTCTATGGATGTTCGTCTTTGCTGTTCTGTGTTGATCTATATACTGTAAGGTATGATTTACATTTTATAAAATTATATTAGTTCGGTTTTTTAATTATGAATTTAGTTAGTTGTTTTCAGAAAAGCATTTTGTTTTAGTTCGGTTATTTTGAAGAGTTACTCACCCTTGAGTACCTCTTATTAAAAATAGAAGTGTGGTCACAAAGCGTGAATGTAGCGCGGTGGGTTATCCGACTATAGAGCATGCTCAGGATGTCCTCTCTGGTGGGTTAGGCCAGGAGTGATTTCGTGCTGTTTATTTGAGAGGTCCTGTTATGTGATAACGTTTTATGTTGGGTTTATGTTGGTCTTTCTTATGTTTCTTTGGTTGTGTCCTTTTTTCAAAAATCAAATTGTTTTTGGTATGGGTTTGTCTTGCGACTTTTTTGTGTTTTATTATTTCTTTCTTAGACTTTATAATAGTCTTTAAAAGAATAAGTTATCCAGTTTTAAACTGGGTTAATCCGGTTTGGGTACCGTTGGTTTTCTTTTCTTAGCCATGGTGTTATTTTATGATTTGTGGTGTTTAGTAAGCTGCGTAGGTTAGTTTGGTTTAGTATATAATTTCTTTCCAACCGGGTTGAAGGAAAGTTTGAAACTTGTTATCGCGTGTTAGAGTTGTTGAGTGTTAAAACTTGAAACTTAAAATCATTTTTCAAACAATTCTTCTTGGGCGAGCTGTGCGAGCTTGGATAGAATTCTTGTGCGAATGAATGAAAATATCAAAAGGTTAGTACTGCATTTTCATTTTATCAATTTATTACATAGATTTCCAAATTTACTGCCTTTTTGGGAAAATTTAAAGTTAATTTTACTGCTTCATAGAAAAACAATTTATAAAATATTTTACTACGTTTGGTATGATTTTTATTATATTATTTTGTGCAAGATATTAATGAAGTTTAGAAGAATTTTAACAAAGATATTTTTTATTTTTTTGTTTTCTGTTTTTATTTGCAGATGATCGTGGTATGAAGAATAGAAATGTAAAAGAAACATGAATAAAGAATGGTTAGTACTAATTTAAATTTATTAGTGAAGAATATTTTTAAATTATACTTACCTGTTAATCGTCTGGGAAAAACCGTGAGGGAAGATGTCGTGTATCATGTCCGATGTTGTTAGTAATTTTGCTAGTATGCGAATGATGTTTTTAGTTTGGAGCAGTGGCCAAAGCAATTGAAGTGCTTTAATGGTTTTTAGTTCTTCAGCGCCTACTGCAAATTCGTAAAGTGTGTTTTGAATGAGATTATATATTTTGTGATTATAATTAGTATTGTGAATGATTTCTAATATTGGGATTTCTACAGGGTGGGTAAATTCATGTGGGATAAGGAAGGGTCTGGATTTTTCGGCGTTAAAGGTCTTCGTGATGGGGCAAAATATATACATTTGTGTTACTGGGTCATAATTGCGGAGGATGCCGTGGAGGTTAGTATCCTTGATGCAATAAGTCAAATTAAGAAAAAATGGTGAAGTGTACTTTGAGTTAAGAAACCGAAAACAATGGTGTGGTTGTCTTGATGGAGTATGTAAATCAAAATGATTTTGTATGAAGCGATACTATGTATATGTATGAGTCTGTTTAGTGCGTAACATAATGTCGTGCGAACTGTGCAAATCGCGTTCATGTGGTGCAAGGAAGTGAAAGCTTAGTGAAAATAACTGAAATTTGTCTTTGAAACTTTCGTAAGCTTGAATATCATTTAGTGCTTCAGAAATGATGTGATCATATTTTCTATCAAAAATATTAAGTGTGAATACATATGACGTTTTGATGCAAAATTTTTCTGTTAGTTGTGGGTTTTTAGGAAGCGGTTGTCATCTAGAAACTGGTCTTGATTAGTTCGGATGATATTATGGTCGTAATATTCTATTGTAAATTCGTTAGCTCGGGGTGCAGTGAATGTTTTTAGTAATTTTTTATATCCTACATAAGTAAATTGTCTAGGTGTTAGTGTTGCGGTGAGTCTACATAGCATATTTTTATTCTTTTATATGTAGTCATGAGTACTAGATAGTGGCAGGCAAAGGGGATTAGTAAAATGGTAATATGATGTCCAATGAAGTGTGGGCATTAAAACATGTTCATCTACAAAACGACGTGTGTCGTTAGTGTCGTTAGGTGTGTTTAATGTATATTGTGGGAATGAGGGTAAGGTGATTGCTAGAAAATTTTTCGTGTTGGTGTGTTGTGGATGATTAATATATTCGCAGGCTGTTCCTGGTTTGGTCGGGAATGATGGTTCGGGAATTTCCTTTTAAAAAAGCGATAAGCTCGGTTAGTGCTATTAGATGTTTCGGTGGATGTGGATGATTGTGCTAATGATGCAGTGTAAGCTGAGGAGTGTGTAGGAGTAGGTGGGTTTGAGGATTCTATTGTGGATGAAATTTGATGTATGGTGAGGGTGTTAGGGTGTATTAACTGTTGTTGTAGGGTGATAAAATTATCGAGTTCCTGGGAAATTTGGGGGGTATCTGGAGAATTATTAAATGATCGGTCGGAATGAAGTGGAGAGTAGGTTGGGGTTACTTGCGAAGCATAAGAAGGAGTGGAAACGGATGGGAGTGAAATATTTGGTGGGATTGTTTATAAAGGGGTTTTGAAAAAATTGAGTTGGTTTGAAAATTATTGGATGGAGATGGTTCCGAGTCTGCAAATTCGTCAGGGGTTTCTATATTAGGGTTATTAAGTTGTGGGATGGAGTATAAAATTGAAATAACTGAGTTAGTATCCGAATTCGTGCTTGATGATATAGTTGGGAAATTGGGTGGTGGGAAAACAAAAATTGGATTTATTGGGATTGGAGTGTGGAAGTTGGTTGGGTGGGAATTTGAGCGGTGTAGGGATTCAAGTTGTCGGCTCATCGTGGGCTAAAAAAAGGATTATTTTGAGACTGAAAACCGGTGGTATGGGGTTGTTCTATAATTTGTTCATATGTATTATCATCTTGTGAATGATGTGTCATTATGTGCTGTATGGGACTTTGTGATATATTTGGTCTAAAATTTGGGTTATGTGTTATTCCTAGGTTTCGGAAATTACGTGGGACTAAGGATAATGGATAGTTATGTGGTAGGGGTGGCAACTGTGGTGCGGTAGGTGTAACTTCTATATTATTATGTTCTTCGTCGTACGTGTTCTGTATTGTCGCTATTTTTGTGTTATATTCTTTTATTTGTGTGTCTAGAAGAATTTTGTTTATAGATGAAGAAAAAATTCCAAAAAAACCTGCAAATAGTATGCGTGCTACACTTGCTTGTCTATTTACTTGTGTGTGTATAGCGCATGTGTTATAGTTTCCTTTTAAAAGTGAAAAAAGAAATCCTATAAAGTTAAACATTGCGTATAGGATAGTTAATTTTTCTTAAGATGTAATAGGGCCATCCTAGAAAATCGAGAATTTCATATTTTAGAGTAACAAAGCTAAAAATATTTATTGGTGAAATATCTTGTGGTCTGTACTTTTCACCGTTTAGATATATATAGTCTTTAATGTCTTCAAAATATCCGCTGTAATCTTGTGTATAAATATCTGCAAATCCTGTGGTTTCGGCAAGTTTGCGTAAATTTTGGTCAATTGATTTTCTTTGTATAGTGTCCATTTGTGTTAATAATTCTTGGAATTGTTGTGTTCTAATGTGGTGTTGGATATCTGATTTTGAATATATTCCAATTGATTGTAAATCAATATTTGGATTTCGAGCAATAGCTCTGATGCTTTCGGGTGAAAGTTTTTTGAGTGATTGCATTAACGTAGGGTATGGAGTAAGAAGATAAAATTTATCTTCATCAGGGTTCAA